CGCTGGAGTGCATCTATAGTCTCTCTTTTTTTTAATATTTTATTTACATTTTAGTTTTCGGGGGACACAACACCTTTGTTTGTATGTGGTGCTGAGGATCGAACCCAGGCTGCACCCATGACAGGCGAGCGCGCTACCGCTTGAGCCACATCCCCAGCCCCATATAGTCTCAAAATTTAAAAATAAATAAAGATAAAGAGCTGGRGAATGTAGCTCAGTAGTAGAGAACCCCTGGGTTCAATCCCCAGTTACATAGATAGATAGATAAATAGATAGATAGATAATACTTGAAATATGATTATGAAAACAGCAATTTTACCAGAATCAGAATGCTGATTTTAGGATCTGTCTCCCTTTTTCTCAGTTGACTTTTGCATCCTCAATATGTTTAGTCTGCAGAACAGGCATTACATCCTACTGCAAAGATTATAAGATGTCYTTGAAATTTGAAGAAAGACTGTTCTTCCCTGGGTTTGAGACTCTCATATTTGAAACTAAAGACATTTTTGGTCCTGTAGTGCATACACTCAACCACATAGCAATGCCACCACAAGATAAAAGCTTTAAACATCATGTGCTCTTTCATGCAAACTCCCTATTAATTACTCAGTAAAATTCAGTTTCCACATAGCTATTTCAGTAGTCTCAGGCATTAAAAAAGCAATAGTAGGGGCTGGGTTGTGGCTCAGAGGTAGAGAGCTAGCCTAGCAAGTGTGAGGCCCTGGGTTTGATCCTCGGCACCACATAAAAATAAATAAATAAAATAAAGATATTGTGTCTACCTACAACTGAAAAATAAATATATTAAAAAATATCCGTAATAGACATGGCCATAAAGCAGAACATTTGGGAGGGAGAAGACTAAAGAAACAAGGAATAAAAGCATCTCAATCAGAAACACTCTCTACCAGCCAACAATGGGTGGAATTTATTGATAACATGAATATACCAGATGTTGTTCTGTGTACCATAGACACGGCAATAAGCAAAAAAGATAAAAGTCCCTATTGTTGATGAATATTATATTCACAAGGATCAAGGCAGACAGTAAACGTATGTGTGCATKTATATACACGTGTGCATGTATGTATTTTGTCTCTGGTGCTGGTAAGTGCTATGGAAAAGAATGAAGCAGGGTCCAGGGATGGAGGCCTACTGGGGTGGGATGGGGTAGAGAGCTGCTTTTTCATCTACAGTGGCCAAAGAAGCCCAGACCTAATGTGTATCATCCGGCAAAATCCTGAAGGAAGTGTGCAGAGAGCTGAGGAAAGAGTGGCAAGTAAAAGGATTGCAAACCTGAGACCTCAGAGAAGAATTGTGTTTGCAAGTTCCCCAGGAACAGGTAGGGGGCCAATGTGGCTAAAGCCCAGCAAGCCAGGGTGGCAGTATGAGGAGATGCCCAGGAGTGATGGGCATGGTTGGATGAGCAGAGGTGGGGCTGGCCAGAGCAGGAACTTCGGATTTTATTGAGTGAGATGAAAGGTCACTGCAGGGTGTGGATCCTTCTCCAGTGAAGGATTCCAGTGGTTAGCTGTGGAAGAGATGGTAGGAGCAGGGGGACCAGTTAGGAGGCATTTACAGCAGTTCTGCCAGGGTAGGATGGTGACTTGGCTCAGGAAGAGTGCAGAGGACCTGGCCCGTGAGGGCTTCTGGAATGTCTTGAAGGTCTTGCCAACAGATTTGCTGATGGATTGGGTGAGGGTGTGGGGAAAAAAGAGTAGAGAGAAGTAGCCATTTGCCAGAGCAGCGAACCTTCATAAAATGAATGAATGGCTTAAAAATATTTSTGCAAAAAAAAGCTGTGACCTGTAAGGGCTGGGGATGTGGCTCAGTGGTAGGGCATTTGCCTAGCACATGCAAGGCCCAGGGTTCGATCCTCAGCACCACATAAATATAAATAAGTAAAATAAAGGTATTGTGTCCAACTACAACTAAAAAAATAAAATAAAATAAGAAACTGTTACCTGTAGATAAAACTAATCAGAAAATAGRGATCAAAACAGAGAAATGGCAAAATTCCTAATAAGCAAAATAATCAAGAAAATTACATGAAATAAAGATTTATATTCACTGTTGTTAGTAGTCTCATCCAAATAGATATCATTCCTTGAGCTTTTTAGCAAATGATAGTTTGAAATCCTCATGATTAATAAAACATACGATCATGATTTTTAAAATAAGCATAAGGGTTTTTAGTAATATAATTAAGACTAAAATTGTATTAAAAATCTTAATATTTTTAGCAATGTCAGCTTTACCATCTCCTTTTAAATTTTTTTTTTTTTTTTTTTTTTAGGGATCAGGTCCAGGGCTTAGTACATGCTAGGCAAGGACACTGGGTGCTAGGGATCAAGTCCTGGGTTTTGTGCATGCTAGGCAAGAGCACAGGAGCACTGAGCCACACTCCTAGCCCCTAATACTAATTTTGATACATACTTTGTAGTGTGTGTGTGTGTGTGTGTGTGTGTGTGTGTGAGAGAGAGAGTATGTTTATAAGAAGGGAAAATTATGAAACAATTTATAAGTAAAAATATACATAAAATACAAGCATTCTCAGTAAATGGTCAGAAGTCAAGGTTATAAATACAGAAAGTGTTGAAAACTCTTGCAGAAACATACCAAAAGCAAGACTTTAAGACTGAGTGTGGGGGTTTAATAGGTTCAGTGTGAAAGGGGCATAGAGAAGCAGATTTGAGGACATTAATTTGAATTTGCCTTTGAGTGATGCTTTCCAAGCGTTCTGCAAAAGGGAGCGGAGTCCATCCTTGCATCAATCCTGTGGAGTGAAGTCAGGAAAGCTGATAGGACTTTTCACTAGGAGTGGCTGCATGGAGACTTGGGTTGAGATACTCTCCAGAGATACTCAGATAGAAAGTGACAGGGCCAGGATTCATGTAGGGCTTCTGGCTCCACAGACAGTTCTCCCTTAAGACACTCAATAAATATGCTTGATAAATTAAGTGCTTACTCTTGGCTGAGTGTTGTAATAGGTGGTGTGGCGGGGCATCCAAAAGACAGAGAAAGTCATCTCTCTATTCCCATGTAGTCTTTGGTCTGGAACTTGAGAAATTAAACAGATGCCTGTGGAACTTGCTGATTACATTTATAAAACAGTGCATTTGTAAAAGCAAAATACTGAATTTAGTCCAAAAGGACTTTGGGAGCAAAAAGTATAAATTAGAGCATAATAGGATTTTGAACTCCTTTGGTGGTAAGAGGGTCCCAGTTCCAACCAACTTAATAAAGAAGGAAATGCACTAGCCCACAGATCTGATAATGAAAGGTTTGCAGGGTACAAACAGTGATGGTGGGAAGCCACGAATCTCCATCACTCAACATTGGTTTTCTCTGCCTTAGTTTTATTCCTAGGCCTGCTGTCACCAGGTGTTGGTAATTTGGTACCAGCAACTCCTGGCTAAATCCCACAATTCATTTCTCACGGTAGAAAAGAAAGCACCTCTTTCCTGATGGTACCACCAAAGTAGGGCTCTCCCAGGCCTGGGTTTTGTGCCAGTGTCTGAACCAATCATCCATCACTGGGGCTGATCTCTGGTTGGGTTGTATGCCCACATTGAATGGAAGTGAAGTCAGCCACAACAGAAGGGCATTGACTAAGTCAGAAGAGGGTTGAAACAGAAAAACAGAGGTGTCCCTATTAGAAGGGAGAATGGCTGTCAGAAGGGCTGTAATAAGGATTCATTATAACTGGATAAGATTCATGCAGGAAATAACTTTGTTCCCCAATTTGAGTACTTAAGTTTGTTTGCTTGTTTTTAATCTTAGGGAATTCTATACTAGGAGGGAGTTGGTGCAAGAGATTTGTGAGATGCAGGTGTACCCTACAGAACTTTTATACTTAACATTTCTTTTCTTTCCTCCTTCTCTCTCTCCTCAATGATGGGGGTTGAACCCAGGGTCTCACACATGCTAGGCAAGTGCTCTACCACTGAGCTGCATCCCAACCCTCTTTTAAGTCTTTTTTTTTAAAAAAATATTTATTTATTTGTTAGGTGTAGATGGACACAACACAATGCCTTTATTTTTATGTGGTGCTGATAGTCGAACCTGGGTCCCGCCCGTGCTAGGCGAGTGCTCTACTGATGAGCCACAATCCCAGCCCTCTTTTAAATCTTAAAGACACTATTTCTTCATTCAGGAATGCCCTGAGCTGAGACTTATCATCTCTTTATGGTGGCTTTTCTGGTTTTTGCTCTCCTGAAGACAGGGTCTTCCTATCTCTAGAGCCCTCAATGAKAGCCTTTCAACTCTGTTCCCAGCCACTCCTGGCCTTTGTGATTACTTCTCCCTTTTAAAGGGCTGCCTTTAGCCATCTAAGAGCAACCTGTGATTGAAGAGGCAAGAAACAGTCATCAGCCCTTCCCTCTCTTCCCCTGACTTCCCAAGATGGCTCTCTTTCCAAGTTTGCATTTTTTGTCTTTCCACAGTGGTATGCAACATTCCCTAAGAAAGCCTTTCCACTCTCTAATATGCCTCAACAAATCTTCGCCCTATGCTTYCCAGTTATAATCACCTCCACTGACCCTGTTGACCACTAGCAGGACTTTGCATTTTGGAAACGGTCCTACGTTGCAAAGTCCTGCTCTAGAAGGCAGACAATCTATTTCCTGCTCTCCCAGTGGCCTTTATCTCTCCAAGCCCCTACTCCTATTGCTGTGGAGCGGRGATGATGAGATTCCCAGAGGAGAGCATTCACAAAGTGCTCTGAGTGCTTTGATGAAATTGATGAGGTAAACAGAAACAGATTTTGCAACCATTCTAGCCTGTAAGAATGATAAGTTGTATATATGCAGTGATTTTACCATTTAAAACATAATGGACTTTGTCATTTTAAGTATTCTTTCCAGAGAGATTTATTTCTTGCTGTAAGAAAACAGAATGCTTGATTTCAAACGTTTAAAAAAATAAATACGGCTTGATAGCTTTTAAAACAGMACTTTCGTTATCAGTGATTGATTTAATATTTTGTTTAATCTTTCTAGCTTCTCTCCTGAAGGGCTTGAAACATGCCAATATTGTGCTTCTGCATGACATAATTCACACCAAAGAGACCCTGACATTCGTTTTTGAATACATGGTGAGTTCTCCAGCATTTTACAACACATGAAGGAGAGGCCTGGTGCTTGTATAATGAATCTGTTAATATTTTATGGCATGGTAAAACTTTCATTACAATGTGGAAGGGAGCATGGAAATTTCCATTATATTGTGATTTGTGAAGCCTTAATGTTCCTGTATCCATCTTTAGTCCAGCTTCTTTGTCCACTCTTTTTATTTTTATTTTATTTTTTTGATACTAGGGATTGAGCCCAGGGTTGCTGTACCACTGAGCTACACCCTAGCCCTTTTTATTTTTAATTTTGAGACAGGGTCTCTCTAAATTTCTAAATCTGGCCTCAAACTTGCAATCCTCTTGCCTTAGCCTCCCAAGTTGCTGTGATTTCAGGGATGTGCCACCGCACTTGGCTTCCTTGTCCATTATTTTTGCTGTCTCTTTTCCTGTCTCCTCCAACAATAAACTAGGATTTTGAATTTGCCTTCTACATAAAATTTTGCCCTATAAAAACAACCTAGTTTTAATCACTAGTTGAGCAGAACCCAACATTTATTTCATTGATAACCAAGATATGTCACAAATATTTTAAAATTATATGTAAGCTTATTAAAGAACAACTCATTTTGTACTTTTAAAAGAAAAAATGATTCAAATGAGCAGAAAGAAATCACAAGGCGCATGTATTTGACTTGYCTCCAAGGATCCTTGGAGGGTGAAAAATTCCTGTGTTGTGTTCAGTGCCAGTCATTCATAATGAGCATCTCCATTTGTGCCAAGAAACAGACTTCCTTCTACAAGCCACCTATTAGAAAGACACATTGTGTTTGACCTTAACAGTGTAGTCTCAGAAAACCTGGTTATAGTCCTTTAACATCTTGGTCTCAAAATCCTTAACTTCGTCATTCGTCCTTCATGGTCAGGTCTGTGGTCTGCTTTAGGACAACATCCCAGCACCCCTGACTTCACTCTTGTCTTCTCTTCCTCTGCTGCTCCATTCAGCACACAGACCTGGCCCAGTATATGTCTCAGCATCCAGGAGGGCTTCATCCTCACAACGTCAGGGTGAGTACTGCAAAGGTCAGGCTTTCCTGTCCACAGCAGAGTTTTTTTTTTTGGTCCTGGGGATTAAACTCAGGGGCACTCACCACTGAGCTACATCCCCAGCCCTATTTTGTATTTTATTTAGAGCCAGGGTCTCACTGAGTTGCTTAGCGCCTCWCCTTTGCTGAGGCTGGCTTTGAACTCGMAATCCTCCTGCCTCAGCTTCCCAAGCCCCTGGGTTACAGGCATGCACCACCATAGTCCAGCTATAACAGAAGAATTTTGAAACAGATTTACATCACATAGCCAAGTACCATGACACCAAATAAGAGATGGTCCTCACTGATATTTTAGAGAAACATCAAATAAATATAAATAAATAAATAAATAGTTGTCCCTTGAGAACTGGAGCAATATCTAGCTATTTTCTGGGTAATGTAACCCTGTCAGTCATCAACATCATGCCAAGGTATCCTCAGAATTATAAACTAATTTAAAAGGATTATATTAAAAGAAAAGAAATGAAGGTAGGTCTTCATAAAATAAATGCTTTTTTCATGGGAGACTACTGTGGCCCATGATAAAATTTGCATTGCTTGTTCTAGTGGATCCTATTATACATATGGGACTAAATTCCATTTTCTCAGTCATTAGAATAGAAATAATAGTAAATGCTTAACTAGCAGTAATTCTACATTATAAATTTTAGAAGTCATTTATATTTCATACTTTCTACTCCCRAAGGGTTTATTGGCATTAATTAATTGATCGACTCTTAGAATAACCATATGAGATTTGTATAGGATATATTTATTCATTGAACTAATATTTATGTATTAATTTATTCATTCACTCAAGAAATACTGAGTACTCAGTGTTATATTAAGTTCTATAGTTTCAGTAACAAGTTGTGTTTCTTATTTTCAATGAGCCTAAAGTGAAATAAGATACATGGATTCAACTAGGCAGTTTGAAGTGCAGTACTAAGAACTATGTACACRTTAACTAAGAATATTATGGGAATACATGGCGAGTAGACCTAACCCAGTCTTGGGTCTGGTAGGGAAGATTGAGGACAAGACCTGTAGAGTGGGGGAAAAAATTAACATAACTATGGATGATGAGATAAAGAACTAACCAGGGAAACCAAGAAGGAATGTCTAGTCTGTTGAGGACTCTGCTACGGATRAAGTCCATTAACTCATCTGTATGACGATGGGATTTATTTTATTATATCAGTGTTTAGCAATTTGAATGAGGGACAATTGGAGAAAGTAAACATTTGGACTGATCCAGAGTTAGTTTTGCCAGACCTGTGAAAAGAAAAGCCAGGTAAGCAAGAGGAGATAAGGAGATTGCTAAAGTGATGGTCAGCAGCTTCTAGACAGTRTCTAACATGAAGATAGGAAGTGAAGCTAAGCAGTTGCTCAGTAGAGGATGGAAGGGCCAAGGAACTGGAGTGTTGATTAAACAGAAGACCAGGCAGAAGAAAGATAACGGAGAAGACAGATTTTCAGGTCTGAGTGACTTACATAACCAGACACTGTCCAAAATGATGAGAATGAATAAAAGATACAGAGGGCATGATTCCTGACCTTCAGGACCTTGCACCTAAAAACAGCAGATAAGATATATACACTGGTGTTACCGTGGGACATTTGTGAATTATGCCAACTAAGAAATGAGACCTGGTACTGTAGACTTGCAAAGAAGACGTCCGGAAAAGTTTCAGGCTTTAAAAAATGCACTGCATTTGAAGAGGCTGGAATAGCACAAGATGGTCCTGGGGGAGAGAATGCTCTCAGAAAAGGCACAGAGTGGGAAGTCAAGGATGTGCTTAAGGAAGAGGGACCCCGAGTTCTGCCCTGTTAGGGCTAAAAGCACTACAGTGTTTTTCAGTCTACAGGTTCTTACCAATGAGTGGGTCATAAAATCAATTTGGTGATTAGCAACCAGTATTTTTAAAACAAAATAAAATGAATGAGAAGAGAATAGAAAACATTAGAATGCATTTCACTTAAAGAAAGTATTATTTTGTGCAACTTTTGTTCTGGTTGTAACCATACTTATATTTATGTATGGAGATAAATGCTGGATGTGTATGTATTTTTTACTGTGGATTGCAGTCAACAAAGCTTCAAGGCACATGGCTGGTCTGACTTCCTTATTTTGCATACAAGGTATCCAGAATTTGAGAGGACCACTATATTGCCTGAGTTCATGGAACCAGACTTACTGTTACTAAAAGTGACACCTGGTTAAGATTCTTTTCTACAAGTGCCATACTGCATTTTTGGTTTTGTTGGCCTGAAATACAGAGAATATTAGTGAAACAGGGTACACAGTCTAGGGAAACAGATTAGGTGGCTGAGAGCCTTATTTTCTGAGAGGAATGGACTTTATTCCTTAGTATAGTCAATTCAGGAGTTTGAGTTCAGAGAGAATGACACAATCAGAAGGAAATGTTTAGGACTGTGATTTGTAGCATGGATAAAAGGGAAACAGAGGCTAGAGTCAGAGATTCCAGTTAGGAGTGATCTAGGATGTGGTCTAGTCTAGCACTTCTCAAACTCTATTGGCAGACAAGTTACCAGGGGATCTGATTCAGTATGTCTAAAGTTAAGCCTGAGTTTCTGCATTTCTGACATAATCCAAAGTGATACAGATGCTGCTGGTGAAGGACCAAACATTGGGTGGCATGGATATAGGTAAAAAGTTATAAAGGCCTAAATTATGGTAGTGATGTTAAGAATGGAAAGAAATGTGAAAAACAATAATAAAGAAGAGTTTACTTTGGACTTGAGGGCTAACTGGGCACAAGGAAGAAAAGGATGGGGCTGTTCCAAATCATTTTGAACTTGATTGACAAGGAGAATTATAGCTTTATTAATAGAAATAGGAGAAGTTGGTTTGGGAAGGGAGAAGAGTCCTGTGGAGACATGTCCAGTTGAGATGGGATACCCAAAGGGAATGAGCAGCAGGCAATTGAGGAGGATCTTGGTACTCAGAAGGGAGCTGTGAGCTGGAGATGTAGATCTGATGGTAGTTAACTCATGAATTTTGGAGTAAAAGACAGAGGAGAGTAGGCCAGACATGGTGGCGCATGCCTGTAATCCCAGCAGGTCAGGAGGCTGAGACAGGAGGATCGCGGGTTCAAAGCCAGCCTCAGCAACAGTGAGGCACTGAGCAATTCAGTGAGACCCTATCTCTAAATAAAATCAAATAGGGCTGGGGATGTGGCTTAGTGGTCAAGTGCCCCTGAGTTCAATCTCCAGTACAAAAATATATATATATATATATAGGAGAGTAGATAACCAAAAGTGCACCAAGAGAAGAGGATTGAGGATGGAACTTTCAGTTTAAGGATGAGAAGAGGGACAGGATAGCAAGTGACAAAAGGGAGAAGCTTTCAGGAATGTACAGCACCCAGAGAAATACTTTGTCATGGAAGTCAAAGGAAGAGCTTATTTCAAGAGGGTCATAGTGGAGAGTATCACCAACACAAGAAATACAGTTAAAAAATCATCCTCTTGGGAGTTAGGGCTGCAGTTGTTTGAGGGGATGTGACATCGGTGGTCAGGGGACTGAGAGAAACTACTAATGTTCCTGTGGAACTGCATTTGAATTTTATAAAAATGTAATGGATTGAGAGGAGAAAACCTATAGTGGCGGTGAAGACCCTGATGCCATCTATGTCACATTGAAATCTTCTGATGGTCATGAATATGTTGTAAAAAGAGAACGTACACTAAAATAGCCCAAGTCAGTCTGCCAGAAATGAAACCACTGAGGTCAGTTTTAGAGAGATCCTTCACATGTACTATCAAAGGTGTACACAGCTCCACTGAGATTCCGGAATTCCCAATTGCACCTGAAATTGCACTGGAACTGCTGATGGCTGGAACTTCCGAGATGGTAAAGTAAAATAAATCATAATAAAAAAATTCATCCTCTTGGCTTCAAGGGCTTTGTTGATCTGTGAGGGATACACTAATAAGCAGAGGAACTTATTGGGGGTATACAGAGGCAAAAAGGAAAAAGTAATCAATCAAAGCGGGTGGGAGTGGGGATGATTTCCCCAGAATGGAGGCGGCAGTAAAAATGTCAGAATGCCAGAGAAGGCATGGAACAGCCCCGAGACCAAAGCCAATTCAGTAAGGCTGGAGTTTAAAGTARGCAGACTTTGGGGATGGGTAAAGATGAGACTCGGGAGATAATGAGTAGGAGCCAGAGCATAAAGGCCCGGTCTGTATTATTCTGTGCCATATGAGGACCCATTAAATGGTTTTAAACAAAAAGGAGTAAACTCAGATATTCTTTTTGTAAAGCTCATGATGATAACAGGTGTGGTGATTGAAAGGAGGGAAATACTCTTAAAAAATATTGTATTATCCAGACCCAACACCCTCCTTGATTTATCCTACCTGCCCGGCCCCCAGCTCCCACTCACACAGTGTGTAGGCTTCTCTTCCTCTGCTCATTCCCTAAGTGCTGGTGTCTACCTTGACCGAGAGGGTAATCAGCACAACGGTGGTGCCACGTGAGGTGATGGTGGAGGGAAGTGGCTCCATATGCCATCAGCTACCTAGCCAGCATTGACAGGAAGAGGAAGCGTTGGCAAGAACTGTTCTGGCTTTGAGTATTAAGGGGGATGGTGGTGCCATTTGCTGAGATAAAGGAATAGGAAGACAATGGATATTGAAGGTACAGTGAATGATGTTCGGACCTGCTGAGTGAGGAGATGATGGGATGTCCAGGTGAACATCAGGCCATGTGAGTCTAAAGGCCAGGAAAGAGATCAGAGTTGGAGATAAAGGTTTCAAATGATCAGAATATGGGTGTTCCCTGAAGTCCTGTCAATGGGTAAGGTGGTGAAGGGAGAGTATATAGACCCATAAGAGAGGAAGGTCAAGGACAGAGCCCTAAGGTACATCAGTATATTAGAGATTAGTAGAAGTGGAACTTATTAAAAGAACAGCCAGAAAGGCAGGAGGAAAATGAGGAGATTGGGGAACCAGGAAGAGAGAGAGTATTATAAACGAAAACATGGTCAACCATGCCAAACRCTGCAGAGATAAGAAATGAGAGGAATCTATTGGATTTCATGGCAAAAGGCATTGGTGATCATGGCCTTTTGTAGAAAACCTCTTTCTAGGCCTCACTGTCAAAGCTTTTTTATGAATTTCACATTTCAAAAGACAGTTTCATGTGATGGTGAGATCCAGCATGTGACCATGGAGTCGGTGGCCACAGTAGACCCGAGAAGCAGATCGGGGGTGCTGGGGAGATTGACTAGACTCACTCTCCTGGGCACTGATGTCCTGAGGCAACAGCTGTGATCCAGATGCCCATGTCTTCAGTGTGATAGACAGGGAACAGGAGTTGACGAGATGACAGTGAAGACAGAGTAGAGGAAGACTAGCTGAATGCATGAAAATCTAACAGATACTTAAAATTAAGGGTAGAGAAGTAATGCTTCTGTTGTTTGTTTGTTATTGAGGTACTGGGGGTGGAACTCAGGGTCCCTCTACCACTGAATTATATTTGTAGTTCTTTTTAAAATTTTATTTTGAGAGTGGGTCTTGCTAAGTTGACCAGGCTGACCTGGAATATAGCAATCTTCCTGCCTCAGCCTCCCAAGTAGCTGGAATTACAGGTGAATGCCACCATACCTAGAAAAAGTAATGGTTTTGAAGTGATATTGGGAAGGGAGAGGTAGCATATCCTACCTTTCGTGATCAAAATTATGAGGAAGTTGTAGAAAAACTAGCATATAAAAAAGAAAAGAAAAATTCAATAATAAATCTAAAAAAATGAAAAGTAAAGAAAAACTAGCATCTATTAGAGAATAGTGTAAGGAAGCAATGAACTCACTTCTCATTGAAGGAAAGGAGGCAGATAAAAAAATTCATTAGAGCTTAGTCTTTGGAGTGTTTGAAACCAGGATTGAGGAGTAAAGAGTAAAGAATGAAATGGTTCTGGGGAAAAAAAAGAGCAACAGACACTGGGTTCAGTGATAGGACAAGCAGAGCCATATGGACATGAGGTTATGGGAGAGAAGGCAATAGTTAGAGACTTACATATTGAAAAGTGACCAAGAAATAAAACAGGGTGGAATCCTAGTGAGGTTTAACTTTGTGTTAGTCAGCTTTGTATCACTGTAACAAAGCACCTGGGACAATCAATTCGGAGGAGGAAAGATGTTTGGCTCAGGGTTTCAGTCCATGGTCACTTGCCTCTGGTTTTGTTTTGTTTTGTTTTTTTTTTTTTTTTTGGTTGTTGTTGTTGTTTTGGTCAGGGAGCCTGTGTTAATGCAGAACATCATGGTGGGAGAATGTGGTGGAAGAAGCTGCTCACCTCATTGAGACAGGGAAAAGAGAGAGAAAGAGAGATCTAGAACAAAATATACCCTTCCAGGTCATGCCCCCAGTGACACACTTCCTCCAACTGGGCCCTACCTCCTACAGTTTCCACTACCTCCCAGTAGTCCATTCAATTATGAGCCCATCCAATTCATCCATTAATCCATGGATGAGATCAGAGCCGTTGTAATCCAATCACTTCCCCAAAGCCCCACCTCTGAACATCGCTGCATTAGGGACTAGCCTTCAATACATGAAGCTTTGGACCACTCTCTGTGTCAAAACATGATATCTGCTGGGCACCGTGGTGCATTCCTGTAATCCCAGAGGCTCGAGAGGCTGAGGCAGGAGGATTGTGGGTTCAAAGCCAGCCTCAGCAACAGCAAGGTGCTAAGCAACTCAGTGAGACCCTGTCTCTAAATAAAATAAAAAATAGAGCTGGGGATGTGGCTCAGTGGCCGAATGCCCCTGAGTTCAATCCCTGGTACTTCCCACCCCACAAAAAATGACATTGTTTATTAGATTTCTAATATGAGTCCTAGGGATCCCTGGTAAGTGGCAGGAGGCAGGCTTCCCTGCACATAGCAGGCTAAATGACTCAATTCTGTTTTTGAGGGACTCTAGCCCACATGGCACTAGCCCAGTGGAATTATTTTGTTCCCCTCAAACCTTATTGTGTTGGAAACATGTCTAACCCATGGGGTATGGGAAGTCTGTTTGGAAAGAGTCGCCCACGGTCTGGCTTGACTTTGAGAAAACCCCATAGGATTTGGTGATAGCAATGATGGAGTAATTGTTGAAGGAAGAATCCAGGTTGTGAGGGATGAAAGAGTGAGTGGGTRGTGAGCTTAGTCAACACACACTGCAGTTTTAAGAATTGTGGCTACAAAATACTATACCTTGATGCCGCAGGGCTTTGCCATTTACAATGCTTAGAGGTACCTGAAGAGGCAGAGAAGCAAGGCACTGAGCAGCAAGAAGGTAGGAGGTGGGTGTGACTAGTTAGTGAGACCTGTCTACACTTGGGACATGAAAGGCATTTCAAGCTGACCCACCAAGAAGCTGTGTCTCTGACTCAGCCAGCTGACTCTTTCCTTCTTGTCATGTTAATTTCCTGTCTTTTCTCAAGATGGTATAGTGGAGTCAGGCAGTCCTGAATTTGAGTCTGTGCCTAGCCTTGTGTTTTTCTAGACTCTTCCTAGACATTTTTTTTTTCTTCCTGGCACTGGAGGAATTCAGCATACTCTTCCACTGAGCTACATCTCCAGTCCTTGTTATTTTTAAATTTTGAGACAGGGTCTTGCTAGGATGGCCTCAAACTTTCAATCCTCCTGCCTTAGTCTCCCCAGTGGCTGGGATAACAGGCATACACCCACTGTGCCCTGCTCTAGACATATTTTTAAAGTTTCCTGAGTCCTGGTTTTCTTATCTGAAAACTGAGGACAAGTTGTCTTCCAAAGGCTGGAACACTCTCTGGCCACCATATTCCTATCTACTGTCTCTCACCTGTCTTCATCTCCCTCTTTCCTTCATCCCTTCTCATTGAAAGAGCATACTATGATACCTTATCTTTTGCCTAAAATTTCAAATTGCTTCTTTTTATTGTCTTGGCTATGAAAATTTCTATTTATACCAATTAGAAGTTTTGAATGTTAGCATAGGAATTTTGTGCTTTGGTAGCTTATTGGTGAATGGTAAATTGAATAGTGTATGTGTCTGAGGTACCAGAAACATAAAGTGTTGGAAAGACTCATAGGAACAGTGAACATTTGAAGAAAGAGTCATATGAAAAAAAAATGGAGGGTGGTAGTGCTGGGGGCCTCATACATGCTAGATGAGTGCTTCAGAACTAAGCTACATTCTCAGCCCAAGAAATTTATAACTTTTTTTTTCAGTATTAGGTATGAACCCAGGGCCTTAAACATGCCAGGCAAATGCTCTACCACAGACCCATATCACCAGATATCTATATAGAGAGAGATTCAGATACACTGGCATATAAGTTTGCCTGTCTTCTGCTTTGGTGGGACCATGCTGCTCATTAACTTGGCTCCAATGTCTCCATGTCATTGTTAGGTTAGCCCTGCTCCTAGTAGCTCTGAAGTTCCTAGTTTTCAAATTGCCATGAGAAAAGTGGATTTATCCWCACACCTCTGCAGATGCCATTTTGCCTCTGTTCCCAGGAATGCTGGGCCTGGCCTTTTCTTTTCTAAACTGTCAGAACATGTTCCCACTTGGCAGAGATCTTTGTAAACACTGATGTTGGTGTTTGGATTCTCATTGCCAGTGGCACTGGAAAATAGCAAGAGACACATTAGTTTTTCCTTGTAAGCTTTTACATCGATGGGAATTTAGTAATGTCTTTGGTTTCTGTGCTTCACAATCACAAGGGAAAAAAAWTTTTTTTTCAGGGCTGAAGATGAAACCCAGGGCTTCGTGCATGCTAGGCAAACACTCTATCACTGAGCTGCACCCCTGGCCTCCATGTGAAACATTTTAAAATTGGGGCCTGGAATGAATTTTTGCTTTTTCCACCAGTACCACCACTCTTTCTCCTTTCTTCTCCCTACTATTGATTCCTTATTTTCTTTTGATTTTTTTGGAGGGGGGTTCATTTCACTTGGTCTCTTTTCCTTCTTAATCTATACTGTGTATTTATCTTGTTTTTAGCTTTGAATTTAAGACTTTAAAATTAAGTTTAAAAAGATAATGATTCCTTTCTTTCCTAACACCATCGAAGGATCTATCCCCCAGCCAGGTCTCCTTGCATTGTGTTTCAAAGAGGATTTCATATCAGAATCTGGAAAACTTTCATAATTGTAAACTTTAGAATATCATTTCCAGGTCAACTTTGATCTTATATGCCAAATTCATTGGTGGGGGGAATATTATATCTTTCACATCTAAATCAATAACTAGTGTTCCAAGGGAAACTTCAAAGTTTGGCTTTATATTTTTAAGGAAGGGTAATTCCTGCAGTGTCAAAGAAATGAGATGTCAGGAGAAGCCAGAATCCCTTTGTTTAGGATGTGGTCTAGTTACTAGATTTTCTTTGTCCTTTTTTCCTCCCTCTGAATAAATGTAAAGTCTTTTTTTTTTCTCTCTCTCTCTCAAGAGACACTTCCACTATATTCTTTCAGACGCCTGTTTTTGATTTAGAGGAGAAGTCAACACATAGTGGCTCAAATGTCCTTAGGTTTGGTGTTCATTCCTTCCAGCTTTTCATGTTTCAACTTTTGCGGGGCCTGGCGTACATCCACCACCAACACGTCCTTCACAGGGACCTGAAACCTCAGAACTTGCTCATCAGTCACCTGGGAGAGCTCAAACTGGCTGATTTCGGTAAGTCGCCCCTCAGGTCTCTTTCTGGGCTGTGAACAATGATGCTTTTGTGTGTATGGACTCTCCTGGCCTTTGAAAACTTGGAGGCTGGGAAGGAGATGCCCAGTGAGGATATCGGATAACTACCATCCAGGAAGTGTGAGGCAAAAGAGAGAGTGGAGATCAACAGCTTCCTAGGATTCCGTCAAGCCCAAATCTAGTCAGATGCCTCAAAACTTAGGCATCCTCTACACCCTTGCTGCCATTTTTTAATATAGTGGCATTGGCAGAGTAGACTCTACTCAGGAGGTTTCCCTACATCTGAGTGGATATTACAAATTCTGTTAGAATAGATCAAGGTTATCCCAGGATAAAGAGATTACCTCCAGACTACAGCACAGACTCTTGCAGGAATGGACACTTTTTCCTGCTCACCTAAGTATCTGCAGAAGTGTGACTGTGTTCCCATCAAAGTGACAGATTTCCTCTGAGTATCACCCTTATCTTTCCATTTTAGCATTTATCACAGTTCATAATTATATTCACCTACCAATGCATGCACACACACACACACACAGTACACACGAATACACACACATGCCCATACACGAATGTACATACACATAGCTTTTTCTCCTCCACTAGAGCGTAAGCATTATGAGGGCAGCTGGGATTAGATTTGCTTCTCATTTTATCCCTACTGCCCTGTACCACACTAGGTGCTCAATAAATGCTTGTTGACAAACTGATTCCATGAGAGTGGAGGAACCACTCTTCTCTGTTTGACAAATGTCAAATGGTAGTGCTGAAGCTGCAGGACTTTATTATGAGGTAGTAGCATTCATCTTGACATATAAGCATTTGACAGAAATTCATTTACCACTTCTCTACAACAGTGAACTCCTCTTTTAAGTTTTTTTTCCCAATTACAAATCATATAATTATGTGAAATAAGCAGCTGACAAAAATACTGTCATTTTGTAGAATAGTGCTTGAGAGAAAATTATCTCAGGTCCTAATAAATGAAATAATTTGGATCATCASTCCCTATCATTTACCTATGAAACTGGGGGTTCCTGCAAAAATCGAGGGTAGACATATTAGTCCTAAACACAGTTAGTTTGGTTGCTGTTGCAGAGACCACAAATTATAGAGGTGTAGCATGCTAGAAGCTAAGAGTCCTAACCACACAGTCAAGCTTGTATGGTGGCCCCTGGTGTCTCTGCTGAGGCTTCTTGTGTCCTTAGCCCCACCATTCCCATGACATTTTCTCAGTTGTGTATTTCAAGGTGTTTGCCACTTCAGGCTCATCACAGCTCAGAGAAAGAGAAAAAGGAGACAGAACACTTCACTCCTCCATGAGGACATGACTCAGAAGCTCACCCATCATCTCTGTTCACATCATATGGGCAAGAACTTGGTCACCTGACCACACTTAGCTACCAGGAATTCCATACCTAGCTACAAAGCAGTCAAGCTTTGGGAAATCCTCTTGGTGAGAATCAAGGGTCAAGAGAGTTGAGTGCTTCTATGAAAATCCCCCAAAGTTTGTGTGTTATTTTTWAAATTCTGTTTACTCTGCCATTCACACACTCTCCCAGTAGAGTGAATCATTGTGTCTCCCAGAAGGGTCACCACAGTGAGTTCCATGATTTTCCTCCTTTGGGCAGGTCTTGCTCGGGCCAAGTCCATTCCTAGCCAGACATACTCTTCAGAAGTTGTGACCCTCTGGTACCGGCCTCCTGACGCTTTGCTGGGAGCCACTGAATACTCCTCTGAGCTGGACATATGGTAAGAGCTGATGCCAAGAAATTGAAGAAAATGTGAGTCRCCCAACCATGAGGGTTGCTTGATCATCTATAATACATGTCAAGTAATGATCTAATAAGGACAGTCACTAACGTTTATATAGAAAGAAAGACCTTAGGTGTTTTGAATGCACTATCTCATTTGATTTTTGCAATCAGTCTATGAGTTTTTATGGTAAAGAAACTGCTATCCAGAGAGGTCTTGCCCAAGGGATCTTCTGCATTTTACACTCCTTCTACCACTCCCCTCCTCCTGGCTCCTCATTTCAGTCTTTTGCCTTTTCTCCTTAACACCTTGTCCTCAGAAAAACACATATAAACACCCCCAAAGAGACAGATACAAACACACACAACTGCACCCACACACTCTCATGTGCCCAAACATAGGGCACAGTCTGGTGGGAAAGGCATGAAGACTAAGACCAGGAGACCTGATATTCATACCAATTCTGTTTCTTTCTTTTTTGAGGGTGCCCAGGGGCACTTAACCAATGAGCCAGATCCCCAGCCCTTTTTTATATTTGATTTAAAGACAGGATCTCACTGAATTGCTTAACACCTTGCTAAGTTGCTGAGACTGGCTTTGAACTTGCAATCTTCCTTCTTCAGCCTCCTAAGTTGCTTGAGATTAGAGGCATGTGCCACCATACCCAGCTTTATTTCTAATCAATTAATCTTGATTCTAATATTTTGAAAAAGTCATATATCTTTCTTTTGTGTGTTTCTTCATTTTAAAAATGAGGGTCATAAGCTCTCCCCACCAGGGGCTAAATGGAACTGTAGTGCAAGTATAAGGACCAGATAGATAGATGCTATAAGTAGAACCACATTGTTAGGGTGACTCTTGGGTCAAGGGAGTATGTGGAGAGAATGAGACCTCAGTGGTGTTATGCACTCTGGGTGTTGTTCTTGGAGGTAGCCCATCATTTGAGGGCCACAGTTACACAGTCAACTCTTCGAAGGTGATAAAATGCACAGACCTCTTTCAAGAGGCTTTAGAAGAAAGGGTTTCTATAAACACAGGCTTTGTTTTTAAAAATCAATAAATTTTTTTAAAATAAATAAACAGTGCACTAAAAGGCTGGTGTAAACTTTTAGATTTCCCAACAAATTGAAAAAGTTTGCAGAAAATTTCCTCCAGTTTATCGAGAGTCATGGATTTTTGATATCTGGTCCCATTTCTAGAAATATCACCTGATAGTCAAACCCCTCTGAAACTGTCAGCTTACCCTGCTCTGCACTGTCACTTCAAAGGCCTTCAACAGGCTCAGGCATGCTCAGCTCATAACGATGTCTTCCTGTTGTGTTTCACAGAGTGAAACTTCTACCCATCAATTTTAAACTCACTCTTATTAGAGAATATTTAAAACACTCAAACATATGGAGAACACATATGTAGATCAGTGATTCTTAACCAGGAGCAATTTTGCTCCCCAAGGAACACTCGCCAATGCCTGGAGACATTTTTTTGTTGTTGTTGTCAAGGCTGTGTGTATGGGGTGCAGTGGGGTAGGTTGCCACCAGCATCTAGTAGGTAGAAAGACCAGGGATACTGCTAAATATACTACAATGCATAAGATAGCTCCCCACAGCAAAGATTTATCCAGCCCTGATTGACAATGGTGTAAAGATTTAAAAAGCTGATACAGGTTAAGAAGCATAATAAAGTGAACTGCATGAACCTACTACCCTGTRTAACAGCTAGAACTTAATATTACCATATTGACTTGTGTACCTTTTCCATCAACTGACTGCTCYACTGGATCAGTGTCCTCCTGAATTTTGTTTTATTTTATTTTTTGATCCTATTCCCTTACCCTAAAACTTTTAAAAATAGTACCTTACCTGGCATAGTGGTACATGCCTATAATTCCAGCATCTCAGGAGGCTGAGGCAGGAGGAGGATCATGAGGTTCATAGCCAGCCTCAGCAATTTAGCGAGTCCCTAAGCAGTTTAATGAAACCCTGTCTCTAAATAAAATATTTTTTAAAAAGGCAGAGGATGTGGCTCTGTGGCAAAGTGCCTCTGGGTTCAATTCCTAGTACCAAATAATAATAATAATAATAATAAAAATAGTACCTTCACATTTTATTTGTATTCTTAAAAATTTTATTTTATTTTACCTGCTTTTGAGCTTTTATAAAAATGGGATTACATTGTTTAGTCTTCTGTATCTTGCTCTTGTTCTCATGTAATGTTTCTAGAATTCATCCACATTGATTTATGTAGCTACACTTTATTTCCTGTTGTTGAACATTTTATTTACTTTGATTTTGTTTTGTTCCTGCTATTTTGAAAAGAATTGGTGTTTATTTTTAAGGGTTTTTCTAAGATACTTATCTAGGGATAAATGCGCCATCTCCCAGGGGATGTAAATGTTCAATTTTATAAAACAGTGCTTCATTGTTTTCATAAGTGGTTATAATAGTTGATATCCCAGCAGTGGATTGTAGCCTCTGATTCATATCTGTACCAATTTGCAATAGCAGAATTCTTAATTCTTGGGGTTCAATTCTTAGCACTGCATATAAACAAACAAACAAACAAATAAATAAATAAAAGTCCATCATCAACTAAAAAAAATTTTTTTAAATTCTTAATTCTTGCTCATCAAGTGTACAGAATGTTTTCATGTTGTGATGTAAATCTGCTTGTCCCTAAWCACTAATGAGGTTGGGCATCTTTTCATGGATGATTTGCCATTATGTTTCTTTTCTGTGATTTACTTATTCCTGTCTTTTGTTCATTTGCTGTTGGTCTCTCTGTTTCCCTCTCTTCCTTTGTTGATTAACAGTAGTTCTTCATGTATTCTGGATTTTAATCTTTTATCAGTTATGTGTCTAACAAGTAGCCTTTCCTAGTTCAGGGCTTATGTTTTCATATCTTAATGTTATTCTTTTGGATAAAGTTTTTAATTTTAATATTGATGACCTTTTGTTTATCCCTTTTAATTTCATATTTCAAAAGTCCTTCCTTCCTTCCTTCCTTCCTTCCCTTAGGTGAGGATGATATTTCCTAATAGATGCTTTTAAAGATTGAACAGTTGTGTACGTGTGTGTATGTGTGTGTGTGCACACATGCACACCACTTGGGATTTGCACAGGATAGGCAAGCACTCTATCAGTGAGCTACATTTCCAGCCCTTTTTTTAAAAAAAAATTGTATTTTATTTTGAGATAGGGTCTCACTAAGTTGCCCAGGTTGGTCTTGAGTTTGCGTTTTTCCTGTCTCAATCTCTTGAGTAGCTGGGATTACAGGATTGAAACACAATGCTCCATCAAAGGTTATAAAGTTTTTTCTTTGCACTTTCAATCTTTGGTGCATTGACTTTTGTGTATGCTAACCAAACTGTCTCACTCACTTCTTCAGTGACTTGCCATACCAAATCTCTCATATATCAAGTTTCCATAAATGTATAGGTCTGTTTCTGGGTTCTCTATTATAGTCCACTGGGGTCAATTTATCTGTCCTAACTTCTATAGCATTATAATAATAATTGATAGGTTGTAGGACAAGTTTCCTCACCCACTTCAACTCTTCCTTCAAGAGTATCTTGATTATCACATATCTAAAATCCCATATCTAAAATSCCAACTACTCAGGTGGCTGAGGCTAGAGGATTGCAGATTGGAGCCCAGCTGGTCAACATAACAAAAACCCCATCTTAAAAAAAAAAAAAAAAGTTCTGATGATTTTTTGTATAAAGTTTAGATTCAATACTTCAAGTTTCATAAAAATTCCTAATATGATTTTCACTGGGATTATGTGGAATTTATAGGCTACTTTGAGATTAACACTCATGATATTGCCTTCCAGTTTTTGAACATTATTTATCTCTCCATCTGTTAGTTATTCTTTAGTGACTTTTGGCAAAGTTTTATAATTTTCTTTTAATCTAAGTTCTTACATATCTAAAATAAAGGTTCTTAGCCAGATATAAGAGTACAACATCTCAGGGAGTCTGAGGYAGAAGGAGCCCAAGTTCCAGGCCAGTTGGGTAATTCAGCAAGACTCTGACTCAAAACAAATTAAAAAGTACTGGGGAAGTAGATCAGTGGTAGAGTAGTATGGGGCCCTGGATTCAGCACTATAAGAAGAAAAACAAGTAGAAGTTCTTGTAAGCCTATTTTATGGTTTCTTTTGTTTCTTATATATGGTGTGTTTTCCCCCCCTCTGTGGTCAGTTGTTTTTGACAGTGATGTTAATTTGCTTTGGAATTTTATTTGTGGGATTTCTTTGAGGTCTTAAATGAGGTGAGTCCTTCAGACAGGATTTGTATTTGATGACACTGGGGATATTTATCAAAATAATACAAATATTTTATTAATTGCATTAATTATTTATCAATGTAGTTTTACCTACATTAATTACCTTTTGATTTCTTTTACCASTATCTACCAAAAAGAACTGTGTCAATTTAGAGGAATAGTTGGGTAGAATATGTAGCCAGGAGCATCTTACAAAGTGATCCAAATGGTTGAGGGTGTGTCAAAAGGACACAGAAGGGCTGGGGTTGTATCTCAAGGCTAGACTATTTGCCTAGTATACAAGAAGTCTTGGGTTTGATTCCCATCATTGCCAAAACAAAAAAGGACAGGGGAATCTGTTTGAAGAGATTTCAATTGACCAAATCTAGGGAAATTTGGATAATATTAAAGTAAATGATGAGAGTAGAATACATATGTTCACRCTAAAGATAGATAGCTAGTTAGATGGATAAGAAGGGCGTCGCCTTCCTACAGTAGAATGCCAATTTAAACTGAAGAAGAAATGATGGAGGTGGAAAATCACTATTTTATAACCAGTATGGGAGTAATTAGTTGAAACAAGAACCATCGGTGCTAAACTAGAAGGGGAAAGTTTGATGAGCAGTAAGATATTTACATGGTCTCAAAGTACCTCTTCTCAAATCACTTAATTACAAAGAAAAACAATAGTGACCTTATTGGAGAGAAATATGGCAGGCAACATCTTACCTAAGT